CTGGAGGATCGAGAATCGCTCAAGGCCTCCTTCACTGTCGACGAGGTGAGTTCATCCATCATCGTGGTCATACGCACTCATTTGCATTTCTTCACGACACATTCATCCATCCTTTCAACTGCTTGTTCCCTCCATTCGCATTCATCCAACCAGCAGTGCACCACTCACTGGTGCACTCATCCATCTACTCATTCATTTCCATCCATTCTCCATCGCCTCATCACCCTGTCACGAGTTGTCGTTTTTTGACTCCTAGCTGTAGCTAGCTGGATTCCTTTATTGCAACAACCGTAGTGGTAGATGGTAAAAAGCATGAATCAACTCACAAGACCCCAACTATTGGTAAAATTGAGGGAGGAAGAAATCCAAGATTGGTAAACGTATTGAAGGCAATTTACTAGATTCTCTGTTAAGTCAACTCTAGAATCTACGTTGAGCAGCCACATTTAGGGGGATCATTAATCTTGCATTTGCTCTCCACACTCATCGACACCTGAGAAAATCGCATCCGCATGTGTTTTAGTTTCTCCGCTGTGTCCTCTACACTTGAATCCTCGGGCTTCCAAAAATGCAACGTCTTCCCTACTCCCTCTTTTGTTTGATCTTCTTGCCTAGATTGTCTTTCTTAACTTCAGAATTAATATTGCTTCGCTTTGTCCATATTTTGAAGGAGCAGACTTCTCTTTGTGGGACAGGGTGTTGGACAAATAGGGTTAAATTTAAGCTGTGCACTTGGCCGCAAAGCGAAAACAACAGAGTAGAACAAACTGGAAGACTCACTGAGCTCTATTCCATCCGTTCAATTAGATTATAGAATAGATCAAATACAAAAACAGAGGTTCATGTGTTGGGAAGCAGAAGTCACAACTCACAGTCTGAAAGGAGGCGCTTTACAACAAAAAGGCACATCCTCATAGGACATAAGAATTTGCTGTGTCCCAGACGCCCTCGTAGCTCGAAGTGGCTATTGAAGTATGGGAGCTCAGTTTACTTAGCAAGAACCCTAGCAAGATGTAAGTTTATTTGATACCAATTTCGCACTAGAAGTCATATACATCCACAACAATTGAAGTGCAATTACATGGAAGAACAGGAGAAGTGGTAAGCAAGTTGACTTCTCTTTAATCAACTGCACTGCCGTCGGTTGTTTGAGAGGGAGCACTCGATTGATCGTCTAGCGAATTCAAATGAATCCTCTGAAGCGATTCCGCTGTTTCATCAATTGTCATGGCATTGATAAGGCGTGTCAAGCCTCGTACCAACTCACGAGTTAGTGAGGAATCACCATCGGCAATTTGTACTTCTCGTTCGAAGGTTTTGACGGCTTCTGATAATTCGTTCACCGCCTCGTCTAACTTGAGGGTTCGCAGAAGGCTATAGCGTTCAGCGAAGGATATTATCATCTATAAGTGAACATGTGTAGTCACGCTTTGTCGTTGAAAAATGGTTATGATTATGGTGAGTAGGTGAAGTTGAGGCATCCGATTTCAATTCCTTAATAATAGCAACATCGAGGGAATGCTGCTCAAATGTTTCTAAGTAGGCTGTGCGTTGCTTACAATCTACAACTAACGGACAAACTTATGTCTGCTTCCAGCTATGCAAACGCTTTCTAATGGTGGTGAGTTTGCTTGTCCTTGCAGTCTTTCGCAACTCCAAAAATTGGATTCGAAAAAAGTGCCTCCACTCACCGGGTGTTTGGGTACTCTTGCCAAACCGCCTCTGGCCATTTCGTCTGCGTTCTCTTTTACCACAGCAGTAGCTGCTACTTTTGCATCCTTGGCGTATTTCAAACTGTTCTTTAAGTTCTCACACAACGTCTCATTTCCTTCCAACTCTTCCACAATCCTATTCAGATTCCGTAGACCTTCAGTCCAGTTTTGTTGAAGGGCCCGCATCGATAGAACACCAGCCTGAAGTAGTAATCGTTCCGCGATGTAGGGGCAGACCACCTGATATTGCAACGCATCTGCTGCCACTAACTTAGTAAAGTAGTGCTTTAGGTCAATACTCAAAAATTGGAGACAGCAATCTAGGATACTACTCGTCTGTCGAATGCTTGGAACGCGAAGGAGTTGAAGGAGGAGAGATAGACCTGCGTACGCCCGAACCTTAAAGTATGGATCTGTGGTAAATGCTACACAAAGCGCCTCCACCAATTGGTCTCCATTTGAAATCGTTTGAAGCAACCGACTTGAGGCTAGGGCTGCATTCCAGCGAATTTTTTCAGCTCCACTGATGTTTGTGGTGTGAAGACAGGTTTGAAAGACGTTTAAAACAGTGGAGTAATGGGAATCCAGGAAATCCAAAGACTTGGAAGCCAGTTCTACAAGATTGGCAAGAGTTTGAAGCGCATGCTCACAGCGATATCCATCCTGTCCGGTCCAGACTACGTTTTTGGCGTCTGGAAAAAGGCGGGCGGAGAGTCCACTTCAATGTGAGACATTAGAAAGCGAAAGGAGGTGGGCTTACATAACAACTTGGAGAATCGAAGGAAGACTCCAGTCTTCTGGAATGTCTTGAAGCGTCAGAGCTTTCATGGTACAAATCTCGAGACAGTAGGCGATTTCACAAGCAATCCTAGCTGTTGCCAGGGGATACATTTGGAGGATGATCTTCATCGCGTAGGACAAAAGGTTGGGTGGAACGAATGGGCCACTGGAAGTTGTTAAATGAAAAAGAATTCCACGTAGTTGTACATACTTATTGGTTAACCACGATTACAAAGGCGGAGAGTCCTAAAGTTCATGCTGCTTTATTTGTGCCTCCCACCCTTACAAAAAGGAGGCTTAGCAGATGAAGAGGACCTACAAGCCAGCTTGTACGAACAATCTCAAATGGACATCATTCAAAAAAGTAACTCCCTAGCCAAGCCAAAACTGCTGTTAAATGTTGCTGGTTACTTGTGGCGTCTGGTTTTTTCAGGAAAACTGCTCATAAAGAGGTGGGGAATCATCAAAGAACGCATAAAAATTATTGTTACATCTGAATTTTTCGAAACACACTAAAGAAGTGTAAAGGATAACCACTCGGTATTTCCAGAATATCACACTTACTCTAGAATGGCGATTGTGCAGAGCTTCCGCAGAGCCTTTAAACGCGTCTCCACGCCAGAGCAAGTGCAGAAGGAGGCGAGAAGATTAACAGCGCGGGTGCAGAGACTAGTGCAAATCGCTACAAACGAAGCTGGAAGCGGGCGGGAGCGAGGGAGGAGAGCAATAAGTTCAAAAAGTGATCCGAGTACTTGACACAACCACCAACGCTCCGAGTCATCAATGAATGTCTAGAAGTGACATTTAGAAAGCTTTATAATGGCTCTAACGGTTTAGAAATCAGCAAATACGTTCTCATTTATTCAAGAAAGAGGCATTTAAAGTCATTAAGTCAGAAAAGTGCCGAAGTAGTGGGTATTAGTGATAATATTGCAGAATTGATATTCTTTAGGCGGGACCACAACTAGAGGACGGATAGGTCCTGCAAGGGCAGATTGAGATCAAAATATAACCTCCCTTCTAGCACATTATCCTCCCCATGTTTCCTTCATGCCAATGAAAGGGATCTGGGATTGGTTTATCCACATACTGCCTGGGAGGTTTTGATCATTTCGAACATTATATTCAACACAGAGGCAATATAAAAATGGTGTAGTATAAAGGTGCTAACGCTTGATCCCAGCCTCCATCTCTTAAAGAGAACAATGGTTGGGTTTCCGTCCCTCTCCAGGAAGGTACATTTGAAGAACAAACGCAATTGGGGGCTACCGAGGCAATGCAAAAAATCGCATCTATGGCAAGAATGAACGAGAGATTTCACCGCTAAAAACAAACACATAGTGGCTTGAAAATAAGAACTCAAAGCTAACTTAAAAGATTGTGACATCGCTAATGTGCTAGTTTGGATGTCTGGTGGTTATCTTGGTATTCATCCTGCCTTTGTGAGTGTGGACTGGCCCCCGCGCCAGATCAAAGTCCAATTTCTTCTTCCCAGCCTGGAATGTATGTATTCGGCAAAAACCTAACAAATCCTTCTACCTGATGGAGAATCTCATGGAGCTGCAGATACGGCCAAAAACCAAATAATACAAACGTATGCAAAAAAGAATGCTTTTGGCATTATGATCAAACATCTTTATAAGTTAAAGGCACTAGTTCTGACTTTAAAATATTTAAACGAATTTCCTGGACTAACTGCAATTGTAGAACCCAAACAACAGCAAAGTCTAGACCGTTCTTTTGACAACAAGTGAGACCTAAACCGTGTTTAACTGCACTAAGTAAGTGCGTCTACACACAAGCCCACCAGCGCACAGCATATGAATGACGCAGAGGGGCACTAACATAAGAGGCACGTAGACCTATCTGCTCTTATGAAATCACATTATTTCGTGTAAAAATAATATATTAAAACATGAACACAAAAACTGACTTCCCGTTCTTCCACTCACCCTGTCCTACTAAAGACGAAATTTTCACCGACTACGCCGAAAGGGACAACAACAAAACTGCCAACAACAAAGTTGCCTGTCCAAATCCCATCCCATGGATTCCACCACCAGCCAAAACGACCAGTATGTGGAACACTTTTGCCAAGATCTCTCTCTACTTCACTTGTAGAAGCAATTCAACCATCAAAAACTGTCAGAACCTTTGAAATCAGCCGGAATCGACGAAGTAAAAGTTGGGACGAACCAGACAAAGAGGAGAGAAATGAAGAAACGAAGGAAAAAGAAATTGCACAGGTAAAAAACGACGCCAATAATGCCACCAATTGGTCGCAAATGAAGCGGTGGGTAAGCGACATCGATCGGTCCATTGAAAACCTCTCTAACAGCGTTAGAGGTCTCCTAAAGGTAAGGCTTTGAGGAAGACACAGCTTTGTGTGCTTTAAGTTTAAACCACAGTTTCGATAATGAAGCAGTATTCGGTTAAACAATTAGCCTTAGCTAATGCTACCACGTTTTTCTAAATGAATACCGCTTCGCCATTGCTCCAACCATTCCTCGACTTCTTCAGCCATTCTATCAGTTATCCTGACTTCAGCTGCAAATTGACGCACAATTTTTTTAGTTTAAAGATGGTTTAAAAACGTGCAACATTAATCACCCATATCTATCGAAGTGAAACCGGTCGTTTAATAATCCTAATTCCCTTCGTGATTGTTTTCCTCAAATTCCAGGATGAAACCGCAGAGCACAAGGAACAAATTCGTTTTCATCACACACCGATTAAGGTGGGTAGATTTCCTGGCTAAGTGTTTTTTTCGGATAGCAGAGAAATTCTTAATGTGACACGTGCATTACTAGGACAGAAGCACCCACGAGGAGAGATCAGCTACATTTCAACATCCTCTAGTAAAGGTAACCGCACATCTACGTTATTTTTTGTGAAATTTCTGTGATCCCATAAATGGACGTGATTTTTGTCATAGCAGGAGGTCAGTAGCCATGGCATCGAAGGCACCGCGATTGACCGTCTAACAGGGGAACTTAAAAGAGCACGTAGGTTTGACCTAACCATTGGTAAAAATTTACAAACCAATACTGTCTAATTTTTGTGAATATTGAGAAATTTGACCATTTAAGTAGGTGGTATTGGAGCTTGCCATAGATGTCCCATCGAAGCGGCTGAACCGTAAAATCCCAGATAGACTCTCTTCTTTACGAAATGCTGCTGACTACAATTGGTGTGTTAAATGAGAGGTCTTGATCTCATTTTAGGTGACGAACTACATCAGGCTGAGACAAGACAGGCCTCCCTAGAGGCGCTGAAATCGCATCTCCAACTTCAACTGCGTCACCGATCCGCTCAGTGCGAGCGGATGACGGCACAGATGCGAAACTCAGCATCAAAAACTCGACAGACGGTGGTTCAGTTGACACAAGAGTTGGCAGCTGCGGATGCGAGGATTCAAGAGTTGACGCGACAAAGGGAGTTGCTAAAACACGCCGCAAAGGGCCAAAAACGGAGAGCAATGAAGGCAGAGGCAGAACTTGCCAGGATGAAGAGACAAGCAAGTTGTAACGCGATCTTAAAAAAAGTTTTAATTAAATTTTCAGGGTCCGACCTAGCATATAAAAAATAATTT